TGGATAACATCAAAATTAGGAAATCATACTCCTCAGGCCTTCTGAGTTTTGTAAATTTAGCAGAATCTTATGTGCTTGCTTTAAGTTCTCAGTAAAATGCTTTCCTTGGTATGGCCATGTGCCAGTAGCCATGTGCCATGATGCTACTAAATCTATGGCTCGAGAAAAGGAGGACTCATGAAAGAATACAGGCAGACCCTCATTCTACTGGCTAGAAAACTTGACTTCTAATCCAGTTTTGCCTAATGGACCAGTTAATGACAATTCTTTGCTATACTATCTGTCAGCTTAAGGGAATATAAGATTTAATTGGCAGTAATTAAGGATTTTAGTTGTGCATGAACAATAATAAAGTATTTTAACCTTATTAATATCTTTTTAAAAAATAAAACCTTTTCTATGGCTCCTTCAAAAATAAGTTTTTAAATAAGAGGACAGAAAAGAGAAAAACATTTACTGAATGCTTGCTTTCACTAGCATTACGTCTTTTAATCCACAAGACTATTTTTTTCTTTTTTATAAATTAAGAAACAAAATTAGAGAGGTTAATGTGCCCATTATCAAATAAATGGAAAATATTGCCTTGTCTTTGTTTCCTTCGTTTGACCTGTTTCCTAAAGAACGTCTTTTTTGGTGAACTGATGTTTATCCCAGCAGAATCCTGCGAAGGTCTGTTTTATTATGCATAGTTTTACAGGTGAGGAAAATGAGGAAAGAAAGGTTAAGTAAATCTTAGTCATATGACCCAGGATGATAATGAGGTCTCTTGATTTTTGCAATTATAATGGATAGTAAGAATTAGAGATGGGCATAAATGCCATAGTACATTTTATTTTATAGCTCCAGATATGGTATTATTACTGATAACTATAATCTCACATTTATTTTATTTAAATAGATTCTGGATAAAGATATGAAGGCCAAAGTGCAGGTAATGGGAGAAAAGAGAGAAAAGTGGGGAAATACATTATTTTCCAAAAAAAGAAAAAAGTTTGGTTTGTGGATTTTAAATAAACTACTTATGTATTGCTACCTAGACTTAAAAACCCACCAAGTAATTTCAGAAGCTTATTCAATAGATTTATGTAAAATAATTTATAGCATAATTCATTATAATTCTTATATATTGGATAACCAGTATAGTGCAATTCTCCAACGCCGAAACAATGAGAAGTTTGTCTTCTTGAGACACTGTTATGTTAATGACAAGGAAGCAAGATTCTTTGCCTTCTTTTCCTTTGAGCTTCTTTTGGTTCCTTGCTATCCTAAGTCTGGCCAGGGGCCAGCAGATCAGTATCACCTGGCAGCTTGTTAGCAATGCCGAACCTCAGGCCCACTTTATACCTTCGGAAAATATGCATTTGAACAGGATTGAATGTGGGCACATGAAGGTTGCAGCACCACTGTGGCTGATTTCTGATGCCGGCTGATGGCTATACTATACTCCTGTCTGCCTGGTGGGCCTTTAAACGCTGGGACCAGAATAGATATTATAGCAGCATTCATCTAGTCCTATAGAACTTGCAAATGAGGACTATATACTTTTCTTGTATGACAGGGTTTTAAATTTTTCTGAGTTGAGAAAATCAAATTACACTGTAGCTACACCATTATGTTTTAAAGATCTTCTATGTAATTCACATTAGGTACCTACTAATCTTTTTTAAGGCAAAATGATAAGTATAGGACTGGAAAGTAGTTTACTATTAATTAAATCTCATAATTAGTATATATCATAATGTTATTAATTATAGTCACTAAGCTACCTTTTTCTTTTTCCCTCAAAAATGGCAAGACTTGCTTCTAAAACATGAATGCCTTTCTGCACCCTTATCCAAGGATGGCAAATATCCGACATGGATTGATTCTTCCTTATCACTCTTCTTCCCCTATATTTGAGAGACATTGCCAGAGGGTCAGACCACTCTTTTCCTCATGGAGGCAAGATGTAACCTCAGAATCCTTAAAAGAGCATTCCAGTTAGCTACTACAAATCAGTCAAGTTGGCACACAGAATGAAAGCTACTATCAAATGCAGTATTGCATATTAAATAGCATCCTGCAGATAGTAAGTAGATTTTCATTGGTATAAGCAATGAAAATTGTTATAAACAAAGTGCAAGTAGTTCATTCCTACATGCTTGATTCATACCATCTCTTCTTCCCTGTGCTTCTTAGCAGAATTATTACCAAAGCTTCTTCAGTGACTATCCAACTTCATCAAGTTATCAGATATTACTGAGAGTATAGAGCACAGAAATAAAGATAAATCAATCACTTTCTAACTGTGTGGACTTTGGTCATGTTACTTTTCTTTCTTATCTGTAATAGGAGGTTAACATCATCTTATTCAAAGAGTAAGTATGGAGAAGATTAAATTAGATAATTTAATAATGTGACCAGCACAGTATCTAAGATATAGCAGATGTCATGCAGTATCCTCTGCCTTCAACTGCAGAATTCTCTGAAGAGTCAAAGATTTTAAAAGTCATTGCATTTAATCAGAGAATGCTCTTCTATAAGGCATTGCTTAACAAAGAATCCAGAGAAAAATCAAGTTTTTAAGAATCTGTACCTTCATTTAGCCACATAGAAGACATTTATTTAAGTGAAAATTTTATTAACTGGAATTTTCTTTTTTTGTCATGCCATTACAAGTATCTTAGAAACAACATTCCAAGGCAGAAATGAAATTGATGGTGGTCTTGTTTTTATATTTAGCATTTAATTCTAGAGATGCCTTGATACGGAACCTCTTAATCTCAAGTTTGTGTGCCTGATGCACAATAACCAATCACTGAGACACTGGTGTTTGGAGACGGAGAAAGGTTTATTTGAATTGCCCAAAATGAGAAGGCAGGAGGACAGGTTCTCTCTAATCTACCTTAACAAAAGAAGGAAACAAGGGGTTTTATAGAGCTAAGGGGCTTGGGAGGAGGAGTTTCAGAGAAACAAAGGAGAAATCTGTACTTCTTTCACTCCAGATAAGCCCTTGGGCAACAGACTTCCAGGGTCAACAGCAGCTGGGGGCTGGTTATCTGGTGATCATAACTTCCTTGAAAGCATTCCTTTTTTTTCTGCAAAACAAGCTCATAAATCCTTGTGACCCTTGAGTCATCCCTCAGGTTAAACAAGAAAACAGCAAATTAACAAGATTAACTTCTTTTCATCTGTGTCTGTGTTGGGAACAAGGTCAAAGGATAATCATGTTCTTATTGAATATTTACAGTTACCCTCAGGTACCTGGCCTCAGCACTAGTAATACAGCAGACACAGAATTTCATTTTCTATTCTTGAATTTGTGATTCACACTGATGGGGTCTTTGTACAACATAAATTCTGATTCCTTTTATATTTGTCTAATTTAGATTCCTCTAGCTTCTGGTGAGTATAATGAATGAGTAAAATGAATTGGTCTTGGCTTATGAATCTGCTTTTTTACAATCAAGAAATAAACTATTTTCTGAACGTATTTAGAAAAGTACCTCAGTCTTGGCATTTTTTTATGAATGGGTGAAAATATTTAAAATTAACCTACACCATGATTAAGCACAGTAGAAATAGAAATTGTTGATATTGATTGCTCAGAAAATTAAACCTATTAATTAATACTAGGGCAAATATTGTAGTTTTAAGATTTTCCTTTGTTCTTTATTGAAAAATGAGTTTTTACGTAATTGATACTATGAAAGACGCTAAATAAGAAGACCATACAATTTTTTGTTTCACTCTAAAGCTTATTCATGTATTTTATTTACAAATTTAACAATCATCTATTGAATGGTTACTGTGTGACAGATGCCAGAAGAAAAGAAATGGTTTCTTTTCATCTCAGTTTTATCTGGCTTCTCAGAAACTGGTAGCTCTAGGAAATGCTGTACTTCTTAATATTTAGCAGCTTTTACCTCTATTTGTATAAAATTTAAAAATATTTTAAAGTGAAATTAGAAATTTATAATTATTTTCTAAATTTAATTTTAACATGACAAATGATGTAATTTTCAGATCAAGTTATTAGTCATGATGCATATAATCAATCCATTTAGAATGCTCCTCCACACTATGCTTTGTTTTTTAAGGGTATTATATTTATTTAAGAGTAGTATATATATTTGTATTTAGTTTGTAGATACAGATCTATAAACTGATATGTATCACTGACTTTATACTGGGAATCAACTTGGTTTCTCTGAGAAATCTGCATCTATAATGCTATTTATATATAATTGAAATCAACTTTTTTTTTTTTGAGGAAGATTATCCCTGAGCTAACATCTGCTGCCAATCTGCTTCTTTTTGCTGAGAAAGACTGGCCCAGAGCTAACATCTGTGCCCATCTTCCTCTACTTTATATGTGAGATGCCTACACCAGCATGGCTTGCCAAACAGTGCCATGTCTGCACCCAGGATCCGAACTGGTGAACCCCGGGCTGCTGAAGCAGAACGTGAGCACTTAACTGTTATAACACTGGGCCGGTTCCCAGAAATCAACTTTTTAAGTAATTTAGGAATCAAGGAAGGCATATTTGCTACAGTTTATAAGCCAGGAATTTCCTGGGATATGGTTGCAATTTATTTTAAAGTTCTTTAAAATACTGCCCACTGTATGTGTTTTGTTAATTTTTCAGTCCTGATATATACTTTAGGAAAGTGGTATTTTCCCTTACATCATATTATCTTTATTTTGAGCAATAAATTAGTGACTATAAATATCCATTTTTATTTCTGCAAGGTAATACTGAGCTTAGTTGACGACATTGTTCCATCAAGATATTAGTTGTATGTCAAGAGACTGCAAGCATAATTTATTTATATATTTTATTATGACATATGAGCAAAAATTGATCTGATTCTAAATTGCATTTAGGTTTCTGCTTTCTAGATTTGTCTAATGTATGCTACTGTTTCTTTTCCAAGATATAATTTTAAATACAACAATAAAAACAGTATTTAGAATAAAAACCTGTACCATTCTTCCATATTTCTTAGAACACGACACATCATCAGTTAAACGCTTTTATTCAAATACAGTCAGTAGTAATTAGGCAAAATCTGGACTTTCCATAGACTGAACTGTTGAAGCCTGACCAATCCCAATTTGTCTGGATGGTGCTAATTTTAGTGCCATGAGAGGTTCACCTACCTTATGTAAAACTATGCTTATTGCATTATCAGATACATGACACCATGGCATAGGAATATTGGGGCTAGTAGTCCATAATGAAAACTTTTGTCCTATGTTACTGAAATAAATAAACTTACTTACTTCTCTGTGCTTAATTTTCTCACTTTTAAAACTGGGATACCTGCCCCAATTCCTTCTCGTACTGGGATAATTCTGATCTTTTTTTTTTTTAATAAGGGAAAAACTAATTCCAAGGATTAGTATAATCATAAATAAAAATAAATGTCATGTTTTCTTTCTATAAATTCACAAGCCTATTTACAACAATTCTTTATTCCAGACATTAAACCACTTAATAACAATGAAAAAATTTAAAAGCCACTCTTTATTGCACATTTACAATATATCTGACAACCTGCTAGTTAAATGAATCACTACATTAATTACATTTTGGACATGCAATGTTCTTTTAGACTACTGAAAGTCAGTCAGTAGATTTTTTATTTTTCAGATGAGTAATCCTGCAGTTTGAAAACTGTTACTATTTAAGCGTCCATTGGTGGGGATTAGTCTCAGCTTTTTTTCCTTCTTTTGTATTTACCATTCTGTTCTTGTAATAATTAAAAATGTTGCACTAAAGCTATTATTAGGTCAGTAAAAAAAGGACAGTCAGCTTCTTGGTAATAGAATGGGACGTAAGTAGAGATACCTAACTATATATACCCTGTTAGATGAGTTTCTAGAACTATCTTTAATGCACATAATTTGCCTGAGAATAAGTAGTGACTGACTAAACATTTTATCAATAAAGATACTATCTACCCAGATTATCATTTCTTTTTGTATTTTTACTATATTTAAGTTGAGGGAAAACCTCAGTCTTTACAATTAAAATAAGTATAAAAGTGACATTGTATAATTAGAGCCCATAAATCCTAAAGGAAGAACTATGAAATTAAGGTATTGCTGTTAAGTGCTAGATAGATTAGCTCTTGAATAAAGTTAATTTATTACACTAAAAACATTAATAAATCCATTATTCTCAGACTTTCCAAAAACACCAATTTAAATAATGCAACATTATAAAAACTTCAAAGCACATTTAAAATTGTTTGACTAATTGTTATCTACATCATTTGTGATTGTTCAACTGTAGTAAGGTATGAACATTCCTAGAATGGAAAGAAAAAATAGCAAAGAAAGCAGAAAACGATGAATCCAATGACCCAGTTCACCGAATAAATATAGATGATCACCATATCCATGTCGAACCACCATCCACGGCTATCATCCTCAAAGTGCAGATAATCCATCCTATGTGCGCCATGTGGGAACTGCCTTCTTGTAACTGGAGCTGCATGTCTATGGAAGCCTAGAAGATGTATAAACATATTATTTTAAAGCTCATTAAATTCAGATAAGTGCTCAGAAAGGAACTTGCATTATGAACACAGGAACCAGGAACAGCTCAATCTTGATTTCACTGAGAGGTATGTTGTATTCCTAAAAGTTTTTTTCAATGATAAGCAACTATCAGAAGTCTCTTTTTAGTTAAGGGTTTTAAGGGCGAGGACAGTAAAATTAGCATGGGATATGGAGTCGGAATTATCCTTGTTTCTGTCATTTATTTGGGGCAAGGTATATGATCTTTTTGGGTCTCAGATTTCTCATCTATACCATCTGATCATTTAAATTAAAAACATTTGGAGTGGGCGGACCAAAATGGCAGGGTGAGCTGACCCGGGACTCTCTTCCCTCCAAACTACAACAAAGGACTGGAAAAAAACTGAATTTCAGCTAATAAACCTAATGCCAGGATGTCGGAGACCTACAGTATCAAAAAGATGGAGGACAGAGACCCTGCTGCCAGCCTTGGAGGAGCTGGAATGGGGTAGGAGAGAACTTTGCTCCCTCCCCTAGAGTGTGTGATCGCTGCTGCCGGTGCGGGAAGGAGTGGGGGGGGGTGGTCGCCACACTACCAGGGGATCATCCAGGACTCCCACCACTGGTATAGTGAAAACCCGCTGACGGGGGAAAGCTTCCTTGCTCGGGGACACCAGAGAACAGAACTGATCCAAATTCAGATTGGGGCACAAGAAAAACAGCCCCTCCCCCCCGGTAAACCACGCTGGGCGCCGCCATCTTGCCCGCAGGCAGAGAGCTCAGAACGCGTGGCTCTCGAACCCCCTCTAGTGGCGACAGGCTGTAACTGCAACCAAATTCTACCATTACGCGAAAAAACCACTCCTCTACCATCCAGCAATTTATAAAAGCTCCAGACCGGAAGGAAAACAGTAAAAACACAGAATTAAGTCCTGAGGACTTGGAAATATGTAAACTAAGTGAAAATGAGTTCAGAGTAGCTATAATCAAAAAACTCAATGAGGTAGAGAGAAAGATAGAGAAACAAGACAATGAGTTCTGGAGTTACTTCACAAAAGAGATTGAAATTATAAAGAAGAATCAAACAGAATTACTAGAGATGAAAAACACAATGGACCAGATAAAACAGAATATGGATTCCCTGAATGCCTGTGTAGACACCATAGAGGAGAAAATTAGCCTAACCGAAGATAGGCTGAGTGGCTCCAGACAGAGGAAGAAAGAGAACTAAGAGTTAAAAAAAAAGAGGACAATCTCCAAAAGATAGTGGATTCAATGAGGAGAAAGAATTTAAGGATCATAGGAATTCCCGAGAATGTGGAAAAGGAAAATGGAGCAGAAAGTGTGCTTCATGAAATTATAGAAGAGAACTTCCCAAATCTAAGGATTAGGAAGAAATATGTGTAGAGGAAGATTTCAGATCTCCTAGATTTGTCAATGTAAAAAGACCTACTGCAAGGCATATAGTAGTACAAATGGCAAAAATGAAAGACAAAGAAAGAATACTCAGGGCAGCAAGACAGAAGAAAATAACCTACAAAGGAACTCCTATCAGACTTTCAGTGGATTTCTCTACAGAAACCTTACAAGCTAGGAGAGAACAGAGTGACATATTCAAAACTTTAAAAGATAAAAATATTCAGCCAAGAATACTCTATCCAGCAAGAATATCCTTCAGATATGAGGGAGAAATTAAATCTTTTCCAGACAAACAAAAGTTAAGGGAATTTGTAACGAAAAGTCTTCCACTACAAGAAATCCTCAAGAAGGCTCTCATACCTGAAAAAAGAAAAAAACGAGAAAGGGGTCACAAACCACAGTGTAGGGAGACAGAGAAATAGAACCAGAATAGGATAGCAAATATTCAACTATAGCACTAGGATAAAGGTAAGGAAACTACCAAAGCAAAGGCGACCTTATCACTCTAACTACAAACTCATAACACGAGTTGGAATAAGAAATGAAAATAATAATTTAGGAGGGGAAGAGCAAAGGGACTAAATCAGTCTATGCCAAGTAAGTAAGAGACCACCAGAAAATAGACTATATTATACACGAGATTCTAAATACAAACTTCAGGGTAGCCACTAAACTAAAGAAGAGAACAGAGCCACAAAACGTAAATAAGGAAAAATCTAAGAAACCCAGCATGAGAAATTGCAGTAGTCAATAAGTAGGCTAAAGCACACAGGAAGAGAAACGCAGGAAAACCAGATAATGAGCAACAGATTGACAGCATTAAGTCCACATGCATCAATAATCACTCTCAATGTAAATGGATTGAACTCTCCAATAAAAAGACACAGAGTGGCAAAATGGATTAAAGAACAAGATCCAACAATTTGTTGCCTCCAGGAAACACACCTCAGCCCCAAGGACAAACACAGGCTCAGAATGAAGGGGTGTAGGACAATACTTCAAGTTAATAGCAAGCACAAAAAAGCAGGTGTTGCAATTCTTATATCAGACAAAGCGGATTTCAAAATAAGACAGGTAAAGAGAGACACAGAGGGACAATATATAATGATCAAAGGGACACTTCACCAAGAAGAAATAATGCTTATAAATATCTATGCACCCAACATAGGAGCACCAAGGTTCATAAAGCAACTATCAACAGACCTAAAGGAAGATGTTAAAAACAACACAATAATAGTAGGGGACCTCAACACCCCACTCACACCAAAGGACAGATCATCCAGACAGAAAATCAACAAGGAAATAGTGGAGCTAAACGAAAAACTAAAACAATTGGACTTAATAGACATATATATATCACTTCATCCTAAAACAGCAGAATACACATTCTTCTCAAGTGCACATGGAACATTCTCAAGGATAGACCATATGTTGGGAAACAAGGCAAGCTTCTACAAATTAAAAAAAAAATCAAAATAATAACAAGCATCTTCTCTGACCATAACGCTATAAGGCTACAATTAATTACAAGAAAAAAGCGGAGAAAGGCACAAAGATGTGGAGACTAAACAATATGCTAGTGAACAAGCAATGGATCATTGAAGAAATTAAAGAGGAAATAAAAAAATACCTGGAAACAAATGAAAATGATAACATGCCATACCAACTCATATGGGATACAGCAAAAGCTGAATTAAGAGGAAAATTCATCACAATACAGGCACATCTTAACAAACAAGAAAAATCCCAAATAAGCAATCCTAAACTACAGCTAACTGAACTAGAGAAAGAAGAACAAATAAAGCCCAAAGTCAGCAGAAGGAGAGAAATAATAAAAATCAGAGCAGAAATAAATACTATTGAAACAAAAAAGGTGGTAGGAAGGATCAATGAAACAAAGAGCTGGTTCTTTGAGAAGATAAATAAAATTGACAAACCCCTAGCCAGACTTACAAAGAAAATAAGTGAGAAAGCTCAAATAAACAAAATCAGAAATGAAAGAGGAGAAATAACAACAGACTCTGCAGAAAAACAATGGATTATATAAGAGAATACTATGAAAAACTCTATGCTAACAGAATGGATAACCTACAGGAAATGGATAAATTCTTGGACTCCTACAATCCCCAAAGCTCACTCAAGAAGCAGCAGACAATTTGAACAGACCAACCACAAGGAAAGAGATTGAACAGCAATCAAAAACATCCCAAAGAATAAAACCCCAGGACCAGATGGCTTCCCTGGGGAATTCTACCAAACTTTCAGAGAGGATTTAATACCTATCCTTTTAAAGCTATTCCAAAAAATTGGGGAGGATGGAACACTTCCTAACACATTCTATGAGGCCAACATCACGCTGATACCAAAGCCTGACAAGGACACCACGAAAAAAGAGAACTACAGGCCAATATCACTGATGAACATAGATGCAAAAATTCTAAACAAAATTTTGGCAACCCGAATTCAGCAATTCATCAAAAGGATCGTACCTCATGATCAGGTGGGATTCATACCAGGGACACAGGGATGGTTCAACATCTGCAAATCAATCAATGTGATACACCACATCAACAAACTGAGGAATAAAAACCACATGATCATCTCAACAGATGCAGAGAAAGCATTTGACAAGATCCAACAGCCATTTATGATAAAAACTCTGAATAAAATGGGCATAGAAGGGAACTACCTCAACATAATAAAAGCCATATATGACAAACCCACAGCCAATATCATACTGAAGGGGCAAAAACTGAGTGCCATTCCCCCGAAAACAGGAACGAGACAAGGATGCCCTCTATCACCTCTCTTATTTAACATTGTACTGGGGGTCCTGGCCAGAGCAATCAGGCAAGGAAAAGGAATAAAAGGAATCCAAATAGGGAGGGAAGAAGTGAAACTCTCGTTGTTTGTAGACGACCTGATCTTATATATAGAAAACCCCAAAGAATACATTGGAAAACTCTTAGAAGTAATCAACAACTACAGCAAAGTTGCAGGGTATAAAATCAATTTGCATAAATCAGTAGCATTTCTATATTCTAATAATGAACTAACAGAAAAAGAACTCAAGAACACAATACCATTCACAATCACAACCAAAAGAATAAAATATCTCAGGGTAAATTTAACTAAGGAAGTGCAGGACCTATATAATGAAAAGTACAAGGCCTTTCTGAGAGAATTGGATGACGACATAAGGAGATGGAAAGACATTCCATGTACATGGGTTGGAAGAATAAACATAGTTAAAATGTCTGTTCTACCTAAAAGCAATCTACAGATTCAATGCTATCCTAATCAAAATCCCAATGACATTCTTTACAGAATTAGAAGAAAGAATCCTAAAATTTATATGGGGCAACAAAAGACCCCAAATTGCTAAAGCAATCCTGAGCAAAAAAAAAAAAAAAAGAAATGGGAGGCATCACAATCCCTGACTTTAAAACTACTACAAAGCTACAGTAATCAAAACAGTACTGGTACAAAAACAGGTGTGCAGATCAATGGAACAGAATTGAAAGCCCAGAAATAAAACCACACATCCATGGACAGCTTATCTTCGACAAA